CTGTCCATGCTACTGGTAAAGTGAAGTGGTGGTTATTCCTTCATTCGGTAAATATTTATGAGCATTCACTGTATAGCTCAGCACAGTCCTAGGCAGCGGACTGAACACTGGAGATTGAATGGGGGATAAACAGACAGGGTTGCCTTTCTGTGGACTCTGGGTCTGGTGTCTGCATAGGCATTCAGTTCTTTCAGTTGCTGATAGTACTTTTAAGCCAGGGACTGGCGAACTACAACTGGCAGGTCAAATTCAGCTTGCCACCTGTTTTCATATAGCCCTCAAGCTAAAATGTTTTGAGGTTTTTTTTGGTTTTGTTTTTTTCATTTTTGAATGGTTGGGAAAAGTCAAAAGAAGAAGACTTTATGGCACCTGAAAATAATATGAAGTTTAATTTGAGTGTTCATAACCAAACTTGTATTGGAACTCAGCCATGCTCATGGGTTTACACGTTGTCTACAGCTGCTTTCATGTTACAGCAGAGCAATTGCCACAGACTGTAGGGCTGCAAAACTGCAAATTTTTGCGATTTGGTTTTTTACAGAAAAAGGTGGCTGACTCCCGTTTCAAGCTAACTTTCTCAAAATGCACTCCATAAAATATTATTTCTGAGGAATATTAATAAGTGTTATATTTTTAAAGTTTCTTGTCAGTGTATTTAAAAACAATAAGTTATAAAATGTTAAAGTTTCTTTACTCATTATTTCTCTAATGTTGGGTATGCCAAAATGCATCTTGACCATCTAAAGCAGCGCGATATAGGATGTAGAATTCTCCAAACATGTACATATGTTTGTTTATTTCCAGAGAACCTCATAGCACAGGGGATTGTGCACACCCCTCTTTGGGAAATACTGAACTAAGTCGTTTTTTGTTTTGGTTTGGGCTTTTTTTGTCACAGGTTTATTTGTATTATTTCTGAAACCAGTTGCCAAAAACCACAGCAGTGTCATTGCTCAGTGAAATAAGACTTTTTCTCCACAGATCTGAAGCCACTTCCTCTTAAGCATAGTGTGATTGTTTTCAAGGTTCCCAGTTCAATTTCAGCTAAAGAGTTAACTGTTTAATACCTACCTATCACACTTGAAGCGTTTCTATGAACACATCCTGAAATGAAAACTTGTGGCAGAAGATTCGAATCTTCCAGTTGTCGGGTCCCTTGACAAGGAGCTGTGCTTCAATTATACGATAATGACACATTGATTCATCCACACGTGTGTAAAAAGGATCTCAGAATGAGCTCAGGATGAGTCAGTGAGGGTTCAGGCATGATGAGATATCTTTAGAGAACTGAAGTTTATTTGCACAGGTGCCAATAAGCTTCCTGGGAGAGCATGAAGACAGAAATAAAACAGGCACAATGAATTTGACTCAGCAGAAACTCTTAACTGTGCTAGGGAAGGGGCAACTCTCTCAACAGTGTGATCTCTGTCCTGGAGATATGTCTCCTGGTCTAATACCCGCTGGCCACCTGTTTGAATCCTGTGAGGAGATGGCAATGGGGGAGGGGTGTAAATGAAAATGAAAAGAGCTGTTTCTTGAAATTCTTAAAATCTTAAGGCCGGAGCAACACTGTTTCTAAATTGATGGAGGCATTCATTCTGCCATGCTGCAAGACGTTGGTACTGCAAGCGCTTGTGGCACTGGGGATGCTGCCGCCCAGGCACCGAGGCTGAGCAGTAGTACTACCTCCAGGGGGCGCTGTTTGCAATGGAGCAGCCATATCACCCACGTGCTCAGCTGAGCAGTGATGGTGTGGAATCATCAACCAGCAGGAAACAACCTTACTTGGTGGAGCAGCGGACACGATGGCCATCAGCAGGGATTTAGGTGTTCAGCGGGAGAGACAATGTGGCCAAGTGAAGCAGCAAGGGAAGGGCAGCAGCATCTGCCAGTGTATAATTGAGACCGTTCACTGGCTCTCCCAGTGGGGGACGGGGGACAGGTGAAGAAATCACTGTGGGTAACGTGCATGGGGCTGCCATTCTGTGTTAGGCTTGTGACTCGAAGAGCTAGCAACATTTGATTTCACTCGTAGTTTCGTATTTGAAGGCGCTTGGGGGAAATTTGGATTTATTCTACATAGTCATAGTAACACACATAAGCACACACACTTAACACGTATATCCTATCAAAGACATGCGCTATGGATGTAAATGCTCACATGAACCAAAGCTGTGCTTGTATATGAATTATAAATTGTTAAAGCGAGGTGGGGGTGGTTGAGAGTTGGGATCTAAGTGGGTGAGTCTTAGGGTTTCACCATCCAAGGTTCAACCAAAGAGCTCTGCTTTTATATGCTATGCATATTGTGCTTCTGTGTAAGATTTCGTTTAAGAAAGGTTTCCATGGCAAATATAAATAAATTAATTTTTAAAAAGTTTGAAAACCCACTTGATATATTTCAACATTACTATTTTATAAATGAGGAAATGGGGACACAGAGGTTAAATGACTCGCCTGAGGTCATGACAACAAAAGTAATGGATTAAGGGCTGAAGTCCAATGTTTTTGTTTTGTTTTGTCCTATTACACCATGCAGAGAAAGAAAGAATATACACTAGAACAATGAGTCTGGATATTTTACAGCACTTCATGTGTTTCTCAGTTTTAAATGGTTAGAGGTTTGAGAACTGGCTTATTAGATATTTTAATTCTTCTAGCCATGATTTTATAGCAAGAAAAAATATTAGCTATGGGGGCAGTAATGTAGATTAAATTAATACAGTTTTGTATCAAATAACCATAGTTAATACAATTTTAGATTCAACTTTAAAGTTGAATTTAGAGTCTACTGGGCATGTTGTACTAATCAGAAATATAGAACAAATGAGATCATTGTGTTTTAGAACAAGCTTTGAAAAACATTGGCCCGATTTTCTAAGCACAGAAGGAGACAGAAAAGATAATAAGAAAGTTCGAGAAGAAGTTCATGAGTAAATGTTAACAGAATAGAATTATTCACTCGGGAGAAGAGAAAGCAAAAGTTAGTCGAACCATTTCCAGAGGCATAAAGGATCTCTTGACTGAGATGAACTACTTTTCTCTTCCACAAGGAGGGACAGAATAAGGGAGGACCTTCAGAAAGACGACGAGAGATTTGAGGTGGAAGAGTCAGTAGAATTGAGAGTCAGAGATGGTGATAGATACCTTTGAGGTTCTCTAGGCCTTGCAGAGTTTTAAGGCTCAGAGGCAGTGGATGTTAAGTGACCAGTCCAGGAGAGAAATGGGAGCTAGATGACTCCTGGTCTCTGTTATCATTTCAGAAAATATCACCATATGTTGGAAGCTAAAGATAATTCAACAAGGAGGCATAGGGGCAGGGAGGAGGAGGCTGGGGGCACGACTTTCCATATGAATGCTAGGATGGTCACTTAGAATGCCCACCCACTCTGCAGGGCTGGCTCCCTGACCAGGTCTGAAGGATCTGCTATACTCTGCCCCTTCCCCTCCTGCTGTCCAATTAGAGATTCCCAGCTGCCAGATGGGCATTAGAAAGAATGCTAAGTGAAATAAGTCAGACAGGGAAAGATAAATACCATATGATTCCACTTACGTGTGAAATGTAAGAAACAAAATAAATGAATAAACAGAAGCTCAAAGATACAGAGAACAAATTGATGGTTGCCAGAGGGGGAGGGTGTGGGGGGGATGGACAGAAGGTGAAGGGGAATAAGAGGTACAAACTGCCAGTTATAAAATAAGTCACGGAGATTTAATAGTTTACAGCACAGGGAAAACCGTCAGTAATATCATGATAACTTTGTATGATGACAGATGGTTACTAGACTTATTGTGGTGATAAGTTCGTAAGATATATAAATGTCTAACCACTATGTTGTACACCTGAAACTAATATAATATTGTATGTCAACTATAATTTAAAAATCAATTAATTAATAAAAAAGACTTTGGGTGCATCTAATGGCCTCATTTCTTAATATGCTGCAATAAACATCTAAAACATGATAGAGTTCTGGGCACAAATAATCAGCACAAATGCTACCTCCCGTGTCACCTTTTTCTCTTTCTTTCAAGAGAAGGAATTTGATGCTGGTGGCAGTGGGAGATGTGGATACAAGCACATCTCCCAAGAAGGGGTTGTAATAAGACACATACTCAAGCGAAAAGTGACTAAGATGGTACTAACAGGAGCTCCTAGTGTAACCCTTAGAACTTGAGAAGCCTACCTAACAGGAGAACAGAACGTGTCAACTCTCCTCTTGTCTATCTTCCAAGTTCCCTTTTCCTCTGAGTCCAGGTCCCAGTGGTAGTAGATATTTATAATGAGAAAAACAAAATTTCAGAAATACAGTGATTGTTCACTTGAATTTTGATGGACCCAGAAAATGTATTAAAATCCTACAGAATAAAAGGGTTATTTATGATTGGTGAAAGAGTTTCATTCACTCAGTTAACCTCAAGACATTGGCATAATTGGAAAGTTATAACTAAGATTTCTGGAAGGTGTATCTTCAAGTTGTTAGTTATGAAAGCAACCAAACAAGCCAACCCAACAATAAAACTCACTAGCTTGCCAGATGCTCTAAGCTTCTTGGATGACTTGGTGTCAGGTGTCACATTTACTTTCAGAAAGAAGGAAATGATCAGCTGAGACTGTCTCCCCAGGACAGACCCTGACTAATTCTCTTATTGTTCATACCTTTCTCAGGACTGGCCAAGTGATTAGCTGGAAAACGCAGCTTCAGCTGGTGAGGCACTCTCTTGCAAATTCCAAGGAAGTAGCAGGAGTGGGTATTAATAATTTGCAATGTCTGATGGTGAGTCAGGTCTCTGCAGACGGGCTGTTTCATTTGCAGCCCAGCCCCGTTTCTGTAACTGCGCCCTGGTCCCACATGTCCCTTCCAGGATCTCACATACTTCTTCAGGGCTGTTAGACACGCCTCTGTCTTCACGCCTCTAGAAGTATGAGACACCCAGGGGGGAACACAGGCCCCGCTGAGTGTAAGTTGTTGAATCATCCTGCTTTGACTGACTTTTTGTCTCAAGTTCACTGTTGAGAGCAGCCGTGCCCAAAATAACTCAGGCTGGGAAAATGAGAACTTCTACAGGTAGGTTTACTTGGGGAAGTCATCGGAAAACATCTATGTTCTCCCACATGGGTTTATGGACAGGGCTTAAGAGGCATTTTGTATATTTCTAAATGTGGAGGGTCTGGTTAATCACAACAATTTTCTATGGATGTTTAAAAATTGATATTTTGGAGAGTGACCTGAGCAATTATTTCAATGAGAAGAGAGAAAAGAGCAACAAGATTTTAGGTTAAAGGTGGAGCAGAAATCATGACCTTGAGCCAAAGAGTTGTAATCGTACAAAATGATTTTTTTTCAAGTAAGCTACTAAAATAAGGAAGAATAATAAATATTCTTAGTAAGTTTCTAAACTAAGGAAGAATGGTGGATACCAAAACTTATTTAAAGGTTAATTAAAACTTTACTCCCTTCAAATGGGGGTTTCAGTCCTAATATGTTGCAAACTCCTTTTGAACCTTTCTCTCACTCACTCTCCCAGTAATGGTCCCCCACCCCCACCCCATATCGCTTTCTCTTTTCCAAACTCCTCACATATCTTAAGCTCTTGTTACAGCTCAGCCTAGGCCTCGCACTCTCCTCATTTTCTCAAATCCTTGCTGACTTCTATTTGACTAGAAACATTGTCCTTCCTAATGCACATCACTCCAGCCTGTTTTGGTTTCTCTCAGTTTTGCTCCACAGCCCCATTCTACAAACAAGGATTCTAGGATCATAAGGAGAAACACAGAATTTTTTTGGACAGGTGGAAAGGGGATGAGGCTATGAATAATTACTGGTTTATTTTTATTTTTTCTGTCACACATGAAAAGGCCTGGTACAGTGCCTGGTCCAGAGCAAAGGAAATGATCAATTAAATAACTCAATATTAGCTGACAGAATCAATCTGTAACATCTTCCCAGCTATACCAGCCATCAATATCATCATTATTAAAACTCTTCCCACTGAAATAGATATTCTTCAGTGGTCTCCCCTTTTCCTTCTTTCTTTCCCCCTTACTCCCTCCTTCCCTCTTCTTAAATTTCTTGTCTCTGTCTTCATTCATTCAGGCTGCTATAACAAATTACCATAGACTGGGTGGTTTATAAACGACAGAATTTATTTCTCACAGTTCTAGAGGCTGGGAAGTCCAAGATCTAGGCGCCAGCAGATCCCCTGTCTGGTGAGAGTCCACTTCCTGGTTCATGGACAGCTGTCTTTTCACTGTTTACTCACATGATGGAAGAGGTAAGGGAACTCTCTGGGGTCTCTTTTACAAGGGCACTAATCCCATTCATCAGGGCTCCACTTTCATGACTAATAACCTCCCAAAAGTCCCATCTCCTAATCTCAACACATGGTGGAGGGAGGGTAGGATTTCAACATATGAATTCTGGGGGGACACAAACATTCAGTCTATAACAGTCACCTTCAAGGGCATTCAAAGATAAAGATGTTGGATGAGGGTAGGGTTTCTAGACAACGTGATTTGTCTCATTTTTGTTCCCCAAATAGACATAAATTGGGCTTCTTCAAGTGTGAGGGAGAAAAGTAGTGCTTTGCGTTGATTGCATACATACCAAGTCATCCTGTGCCCCAGAGAAGCACTAACCCTCTCACTCCTTACAACAATCATGCGAAGTATGTATGTAATTACAGTGGAGTTGCATGATGCATGCACTTGACTTATTCAGCCTAGACAAAGTCAACTGTGTATACTTCACAGAAAGGGAAGGGTACAGGAGGAAGAGAGAGTGAATTTAATATAATTTGTGCGAATGATGTCCCAATTCCACCTGGTAAACCTAGTTGGGCCCCAGAGTGCACAGGAGATAGGAATTCCCTCAAACTATCTGTTTCCGAAGTGCCGCCCATGGTGTTAGCATCTCAGGGCACCAAGAATGAGTCTGGTGATTAAATTTACAACATGATTTTTTTTTTCCATCCAAAATGGCCCATAAACTAAGGCCAAGAATTCCATCTGTTTTACTGTTGGAGGAAAATCTGGTTGTGTTAGACCCACTGAGAGATAATTTGGGAGAGCAACTTTACAGGCATTTTGAAGCATTACCAAGAATACATTTTGATATGTGCCTCATATGTTTAGTTTTGTCTCATATGTGAGGCTCTATCTCCATTTTACAGGTGGGAAAATTGAGGCTCAGAGAAATTAAGTAATTTGCCTCAGGCCAGACATCTGGGGCTGAGATGACATCTGAGTTAAGTCAGTCTTGGTTCCACAGCACATGTTCTTCTGACTGCCCCAATCCAGCTCAGCTCTCCCTTGAGTCTGTTTCAAATAATCATCATCTCTTGGCCATGTCTTGGCTGTCTGCATCATCTCTCTATTCCTTGCCTCTAAAGCCTCAGTGGAGAACTATTTAGACAATCACAAAGGACCAAAGCGGAAGTTCAACCAGCCCACACAGGTACTGCCATACTGGTTATTTGGACTGCTATCTATTCTATGACCACACCACCACTCCAATTGGCCAGACATCCATCCTGGTACGCATGCCTCACTGACGGTTAAATATTTTGAACATCACTCTGGCCATACCTCTCACAACAGCATAGAGAGATTCATATATGACAAAAGTAATATTCTAAGTAATTTTATAATGGTTTTTCCACATGAGTCGAATGCAGTCACTGACGTCTTCATTTTCTAGAGCCGAGAACAGAGGTCCAAAGAGCATGCCTTGTACAAGGCCGGAGGAGGTGAGGCTGGGACCTGAATGTCCCCGACTACATCAGCTCACACTGGTTTTCACGCACAGCCAGCTACCTCAGTCTTTGCTGAGAATTTAGCATGACAACTAATGGAACTTTCTTATGAGAATGACCAAGTTACTGGTTGAGCCCTGTGAGAACAAATGAGGATTTTATTGTCTTCGTTCAGAAATGTGTAATCTAGTCAAAGGTGGTGCTGGGGTGCAGAGTCACCGATGGTTTCAGCACCTCTTTTGGGACTGTGTGTCTGCCTTGTTTTGATCTATCCAACTACTCCTATTAATTACATCAGCTGCCTGAACGGCCCACACCTCATTTCCCAGAGAGGAGCAGGGTCTCCTGCCATCATGTCCTATGTCACCCTGTAGGATATTAGAACTGACTCAAGATTGTGTTGAAAAATGTTTTCCTTTTCAGTATGCTAATAAGGACAAGATCATATCAATGGATATGCATCGTGGCAGGATTTTTCTGCAGCTGAGTCTTTTAATGAGCTGCTCTATAATGAGGGCTAGATCCTCACACAGTAACTGTGTGCTAGACAAAGTTTAAAGACCTTTATTTTCCCTCTACTCGCACCCTCTTCTAAGCCCTGGCTCTAATTCTTTTAAACAGTAACATTAATTGGCTGTTAAGTAAAACAGGAGAGAACACAAAAGATTTATGAGATTTTGAGAAGCTGTACCAGTTCTCAAGCATTCAGAGAAACAGATTTGGTTTATGAGGTAATTATGATTTAGTGTTTTCTCTCGCCCTGTTGAGTCTGTGGCCTGCCTCTAAAATGGATCTGGGATGAATGTCAAAATCAGAATTTACAGTCAAACCTTTTGAACATATAAAGCTCAGGAGAAGTTTCTCTGTTTGTTTGTTTGTTTCTAAGCAATATTTCCTTCTGTATTTCTGTGCTTAGGTTTTGTAGGATGCCCCCCCACCCCATCTTTGGAATGGCATCTATAAATTACTTCTGATAAGGCTGCTGTATCATCAAAAAGTGATTGTTTTTGCAAGCAATCATGGGAAAACATGTCAATTTAAATACTTTCTTTTCCTCTCACTCCTTTTTCTCCCCTCACCCATTACAGGAGAACTGCTATCATCTCAGGTTTTCTATCCTTTCAGAAATGAGCAGCAACTCAAGACTGATGAGCTTGAGAAGAGATCTTTTTGCTTCTTCTTTCTGTATCTCCCCCCCCCCAATGGTCTCCCTTTGAAATGAGAAGTGTGTTTAGCTGCTTGTTGTCTTCAGGGAGAGCAGACCCTGGGATTCTTGCGGCTCCAACGGTTTCAGATTTGGCTCCCCACTTAGGTGAGGAGATCTTAGGTAGTTACTTTCCCTCTGGGAGCCTCCTTTCTCTCTCCTAATTTATAAAATAAGGCAGAGGGTGGCTTCTAAGGCTTCTTCCAACTCTAAAATGTTAATGTTACCTATAGATGGCCCAATAGTAATATATTAGGCCACCTTGGTGTGTGTTATTGAAAGGGAGATGCCATCCAAAAATATGCCGCTTTGACATGAGAATTATTTTAAGTGGAAGGCATTTCATCTGAAACCCCTTATTTACCTAAAAGCAGTGCCTCCCAAAAGCACTCAATGATCATAAATCCCCGCCCTGGGAGTGATTCTCATCTTCTCTTCTGGAAGTTGAGAAGTGAGCACCACACCCAGGCAGACATGTCACAAAACTATCATGTCTCCCATCTATTCTCCTAAGGCCAACTTACTTTCCCAAAAAGTCATTTGTTTTCTCATAAGTGCCCTTCTCCCCTCCTCTTCTCCTATTAAAATAGTATATAAGCCCCAAATTCTAAATACCTCTTTGAGCGTATTTTTCTGTGAACGCCTATGCATGTATGTGAATAAAAATCTATCTTTTCTGTTGCTAATCTATCTTGTGTTGGTTTAATTTGCAGGACCCTAATAATAGAACATAGGAGGGTAGAGAAAA